CAAATTTCGATAGGTTGGTAATAGCGTGACGTTTTTGTTTCTAAATCTACTTGTTAACCAATATAGTTCCGCAGAAAATATTTTCAAGACGCCAGCGATTTATCAGTCCGTTCTTGAATCACAACCTGATCAGTCCAAACAACAATTCCAGACAANAAAGCTTCGGCAGATCAGCAAGCCACGCCTGCCAACGAGATAAGTGAAAACACGGAATCTCATCATCCCAACCGAGGCCTTTTCTGCATAAGTCCTGAAGGATAAGCTTTGCTGGGAGAATGAAAGGTGCAGCCATGCTGGGCAGATTGTAGACTGAACTAACGACCGAGAGAATCCCACGTCTGGTGCAAGGTTTCTCCTTAACGTTCACTTTAAAACCAAACGCATCCGTCTCGACAAACCATGACACGCCCAAAGCTCTCTCTGTGGGAAGCGTATCGCATTCAAAATTAAGCTCCTTCACGTCTGTTGAAGACCTAAATGTAATAACTGACCTTAAATGTAATAACATTTGGCCTTAAATGTAATAAACTCCAAAGTGTGACAACATTTGGACTTAAATGAAACAACGTTACACAAACGTCATCATTGACGTAACCACCTCGTTGACGCAAAGGCTAACTCGAATGTTGCCGAGGGTTTATATCTCCGGCGGAGTGCAATCTTTTGTTATAAGTGGCCAAATGTTATTACATTTAGGAGTTTATTACATTTAAGGTCAGTTATTACATTTAGGTCTTCAACATAGTCATCATCTTGGACTGGATGTTTGTTTTGATGAATATAACTACCATGATTCCCTGCGAGTGCATCTTATAGAGGGAATTTACCATAGAACATGCGACCAGTGTTAAACGTGAGAAACTTTATGAAAGCGTGTTTTTTTTGCTTGAGTTATGATTAACTTGTATTATGAAAATACATATATTTCACTAGGACCACGTGGTGATTTTCTTTCTATTTTAGCTAACACTTAGGAGAAGTTAAGAAATATGAGATTTTGTCAGTTCATAAAAATAAACAATAGTCAGTAATTTTTGCCTTGTAGATGCATAGGGCGCGAAAGGAGGTACCGTTTGAATCATTTAATTGCAGTGCTAAATAAATGTCCCAGGTTCGGCTCACCTCAATGTACTGTTCAAAGGTTCCTTGCCATTGGTTTGGTACATAATAACGGAATTTAGAGGTTGCCTTCGAAACGCTTCCTTTAAACACTTGAGACCTTCTACCCTTACTGACAACACGTTTTGAAGACGCGAACAAAGTGTTATAATATTTGTATATTGAACTATTTATCCATTTATGTGGATTTGAGCTCCACCTGCCAAAAGCTGATGTTTCGTCTGCTATAACCATGTGCGGGTGAGCATCCAGTAAAGAACCAAGTAAAGTGTGGCGACTGCGCGAATAACCAATGAAAAACAAGATGGTTTTGACGTGACCATAAGCTTTGAACACGCTTCTGTGTGAGTGTACTTTATCTATAATTGAAAAAAAAAAAATGTTAGTGAGTACTTAAAATTGAAGATCGCTGTATGGTTGCCAGTTAAAAATAATTTTGGCTAATTTTTGACATATTTTTGATAATTGATGGCTTCGTTTAAATTAAAAAAATCAAATTATTAGGACTATGTTATGCGAAGAGGTGAGAATGTCGACTATGCGAAGCTTTAATTGACAACTCCACCTCTCAAGATTGTTGAATGACGGTTTTAAACACGCGAAACAAACAGAAATTTAAGTTACGACGATTTAATATATCAAGAATTTCAAGAAATCGACGCGCAAGGTATGGCTAATACATTTAACAGAGGATCTTGTTGCGGTCAACTGTTTGATTTAAAACGGACCAAATATTTAACCCTTGCGTACGAAAGTTGGAACATTTAACGTAAAAAAAGTTGGAACATTTAAGGTGGCTCCTTATAGTTTTACCATCGCGCGAGCGCTGAGGAAGTAATCTGCGCGCGCTCAAAGGAAGACGTCAGTGTTTTTCGATATTTTATTACGGCAACATGAGCACAAAAAGCAAAACTGACAGTTTCCTTCAGTGAAATTCCGTAAAATTTGGCAGAATGGTAAAAAATATTTTACTTCAGTCGGAGCTCGTTTTTCAGGGAAATCTATAAGACCAAATCTTTTGCAGGGGTAAAAGACATAAACTTGAAAATATCGCAAACACTGCCTTTACAAACCCTACTTTTTTCTCGTTTAAAATTCGTATCCCGCTGTGAACGATGTGATGTAAAAATTTTGGAAGATTTCACCTAAGGAAATTCATGTAAATCACAAATAAAACCATAAAAACAGTAAAAAACGCATTTGTTTGGGCATTTATAATTTAAGACAAAATCACAGAATTTTAACAGAGATGATAGCAAAGCACTATTTAATCATTGCTTATTACATGTAATAAGTTTGAGAGGACCAGGTGTGAAAGCAAATGCAACAACAGCATTCAAAACATAGCACTTGCGCGCGCAACGCCATAAATGATTACCTCTTGGAGCCACCTTAACGTAAAAAAAATGTTAACGTAAAAACAAGAAAGAAATTAGTTACGAAAGTGGAAGTCTCAAGATCTTTTGTCAAGAATTTTTTGTGTCTTGTTTTACTATAGCAGAAAGCTATGTTAGCCTACATCTCTTAAAATAATACCTTTCACTATCTCAGAATGGTCCTTCATGTAAACACCTTCGTTCGTCCACACAACCAAAACACTTGCCATTCCCACGCCAATAAGCACGCCCAAAAGAACTGCACGGATTCGAAATCTGCCTTGTGATCTCAGACACATCATAACTGCTTCTGTTTAAAATAATGAAGACGTTTACTAAGACAATCTTGCTCTAATTGTTCCAAGAGAAAATATTTTTCCAGCTGGTTCTAAGATGAGTTACGATCAGCTTGCATTTAATAGACTGTTCACAGTCCTCTATTTTCTTGTATTTTTATTCGATCGTTGAAAGCGCGGATAGAATCGCAAGAGAGCTGGACGCCAGCGTTAAACGGAAGACTTGACTTGGTAGGGGGCCGGTGGGGACCGATGTAAATGTTCTTTTTGCTCGCTTCGCTGGTAAACCCCACCCCCACCCCCGCGTGCTTCGCGCTTGCTTCGCTCTCTTTTTCTTTCGCGTGC